ATGGGTGTCTCGTTTTCCTGACCATTTGCTTTTCGACACCTCTCTCTTCATCCTCTTCTTTATTTTACCATTCCCTTCAACACTCGGCTTCTACTATTTCTCTTATTTCTCTGGTTCTACTACTCTATCAAAAAACTTCAATTAGCAAAATAATTTTCTCCTCTTCTACTATTTTCTTATACCTTTTTTTTTCTTCTTTCTTTCTTTCTTTCTTTCTTTCTTCTGGTTGTCGTAATCCTATTATCGTTATAATACTCTTTTCGCGATAAGCTAAGTACTTCGTGCGAGAAATGAAAATCTTTTTTTAAAAAAAAAAAAGGGAATAGCCAACTTTGAAACGAGATAACGAACAAACTCGTGGGCCGAGATTATTTAACTAACTCTCCTGTGTTTTCTTTTCTCCTCTTTTTTTTTCCTTTTCTTCTTCTTCTTTTTCCTTATAAACCCGCCCCACCCGTTCCCAGTGTTGTTTAATCGAGTAGAAAATAAAAAAATAGGCGAATTTTGTTTAAGAATAATAATGATGATAATTTAATCATAAAACAAATTAAATTAAAATATTTTCTTCTATTTATAAATATAAAATAACGCGTTTTTATTCTACTTGTAAGAATTCGAAACACTTCTAAACAAACAAAAAAATAAAAAGAAACAAATTCCCTGAACGAATATTATATATTCGGATAAGAGTAAGAAGAGACAGAGGATGGGTGTGCGAACAAAAATTTCATACTGAAAGACAGAATAAAAAAAAAGAATAAAAAGAATAAAAAGAAGAAGAAGAAGAAGGACCTACTGTGTGGCTCCCGTGACACGGAAGAAGAAAACGAAAAAGGACGAATTTAAAAAATGAAGAAGTAAGTAGCCAAGCCAATGGAAGGGGAGAAGAAGATAAAAAAGAACCCAAAAAAAATATATATATAAAGAAAAGAAGTAACCAAGGAAGTAAAGAAGGAAGAAAGGAAGGAAGGAAGGAACGCGGTTTGCAAGGAGAAGGACGACCGAGATTGATCGCAGTGAAATTGCATCGCGAGCTGGCTGCACATCTGCCAGTGAGCACAAAACTTCCCTACAGAAGGAAAGAGAGTAAGAGAGAGAGAAAGAGAGAGAGAGAGAGAGAGAGAGAATGGAAAGAGGCTCCGCCTTCGGTTGGCGTGTGCATTTGCGCAAGATGGCGCCGTTCGGACGGCCGGTTGCACACATTTTGCAGTACCCACCACCAACCAAGCTGCACTACCACCACCAACCAACACCAGAACCAGAACCAACACCAGTACCAATACCAGCAGCAGCAGCACCAACAGCAGCAGCACCAACAACACAGAAAGAAACTATGGACAACGAGACACGATGAGGATGAGGATGAGGATGAGGATGAGGACAAGAATGAGGAGTATGAAGAAGAAGAAGAATCAAACCCTCCCGGACCCTCTACTTCTTCTTCTTCTTCTTTGAATCGGACGAGGAGGATGCAACGACGAAAGGAGGGGCTAAAGTTAAGAGAGTAAAAGAGTATCTGTCTGTGTGTGTTAGTGTGTGAGATGTGGTATAAAAGCAGCGCCTCCCGCGTGGCCTGCAATTACGTATGCACCTCTCCGAGAGGCAGCCCGTGGGCTTCGCGGTTGGCTGCGCTTCCTTCCTGTCTGCTGCAACCACCGTGCGTGCATTATGCATCCCGTTGCATGCGTCCATCTACCTTGTTTGTTTAGTATTTTTAACTTTTACTACTACTACTATTACTATTACTATTACCACAGACTACTCCCTATTCTTTATCTAATATTTTATTTTATTTCTTATTTCTTATTATTTTCCTACTTCATTTTGTTTCTTTCATTCGTCTAATTCAACCTAGATGAATGTTTTTGTTTTGTAAACGCCTCCCCACCTTCTATTTGTAATCAAGATATTAAATATTTGTACAATATAATCATATTCTAACGTAATAATAATGTAATAACGGTATTATATGATTGTAAAAAAAAACTTTTGTTTAAAATATTACAACGATAAATAAATTCTCAACGAAACGGAAACGGTGATCTAGAGATGGAGAGATGGAGATGGAGATTGAAGCGCGATGATAAAAAAGAAACTAACGTCTGATTTCTTGGAAATTAGACTCTCCGCGAAAAAAAATAGAAAAAAGAAAGAAAAGAAAAAGGATTAACATAAGATTATCTGTACCTCGTGTGTCTGGGTGTTTTGAAGCAAGTGCAAGCAAGCAAGCAAGCAAGCAAGCAAGCAAGCAAGCAAGCTTGGAATCATGGAAATCATCTACTACTACTACTTCTTCTTTTCCTTCTTCTTCTTCTTCTCCAGTAAACATAAAAAGAGTTAAGAAGGAAAGAAAGAAAGAAAGAAGAAGAAGAAGAAGATTTGATTCCGATTAGGACGGTCGTTTTTTGGGCAAGGCGAGGTAACAGAGGCCCGAGTATGATCCATGCACGTCGGCACGAATCAGGGATATCGCGTTCCAGGCCCTCGACGATCTAACCGGCTGGATCAAGTTTCCCCTACCCCCTTTATCCTCCGTCTCACCCCACCTAACAAACCCCACCTCCTCCTCTTCACCACTCCTCTCTACTCTTCCACCACTTTTGCTTTTTCGTTACTTTTATCTATCTCTTTTTGTTCGACAAATTCCGCTTATTCTTCGTCATCTTCTATATCGTGCTTCGAAAACAAAAACAAAACAAAAAAATATTTGACTGAAACTTTATTTGAATTATTTTAACCCCTTTTGTGGAACCCGAATTTTTATATATATATATATTGTATTATTTGAAGTTTAATAATATAATATATATTTATAATTTAATTAAATTGGGATTATGATATTTATATATTTAATATATAAAAAGTTACATATACACGTTACTACTTTACTATCATACTCGAAGAGGAATCATCGATGATGTATTTTTATTTGAAATTAATTGTATTACAATTTAATTAAATATATATATATATATACACAATTATTTTATATATAATTTATATATATATATATATAAGACGTGAATATATTTTAATCTAATTTTTAAACGCTATGATTCATTCATTCGATACACATTTTGAATGAATATTAAAGTGGAGAACAATTTTTTTGTTGTCGAATTTATTCGAAGTAGTAAAGTAAAAAAAAAGAATTAAAAATTAAAAAAGAAAAAAGAAAAATGCAAAAACAGATGATAAGAGTAAATATTCCAGGTGTTTTGATAACGTGTAATTAACAAATGAACTAAAAGCTGAGAAGTCTTTCTCTCTATCTATCTATCTATCTATCTATCTTTCTCTCTCTCTCTCTTTCTATCTATCTCATTCTTTGTCTCTCTTTTTATCTCTTGTCCTAGATGAAACATTAATATCTTAATTAGCGAGTACGAGAAGGGGATGGAGGCGGCATCGTTTCGTTGCAGCTGGTCGTTGAACCGAGACTTTTTTCTATTCCCAACCCCTTAGGGGTTGAAACAACCAACCACCACCAACTAGAGTATACACCACCTCGATTAAAAGCTAGGTGGTGTTCTCGTTCATATCAAACTCGTTCTATTCCTTCATAATTTTTTTTTTTTTCGACACGACACTCTTCGTTTTATTATATTTTCTTTTTTTTATTTGTTTTTTACGCTGTCGGATCGTCGTTACGACCGTAATTAGTAATTAAACAATTTTTAATAATTTTATTTTCTATCATTTTACTACCAACAAGATACGAGTGGTTTTTTTAAATACAAAATCTCGATATATTATGGAAAAAAAAAAAAAGATTGTAAATATTAGCTCAATTAAATATAATAATACTAATTGTTAGATATGAAAATTCATTTTCATAATACACATTAAAAATACTGTGTTATTATTATTATTAAAAAGTTTATACGGTCAGGAGAATTATTTATACTCGTGTAATATATTTAACACGTCGTTGACTTTCGTGTAATTCAACTCTCTTTAAAAAAAAAAAAAAAAAGAAAAACAGAAAGAATATTATTTCTATTTCTTCTTCTTCTTCTTCTATTTCTTTGATTATATTTTTAAATACAAAATTATTCCGAGTGAAAATAAAAAGGAAAACGTTTTTTAATAGCTATCGCAATTTTCCCAACAACGCAACAAATAGGTGTTGTGTTGTATGTGTAAACTTATTACTTAGACACCTAATCAAAAGATTTCTTTTTTTTTTCTTCTTCTTCTTCTTTTCTTACTAACCACAGAGAAATCAAAACACTCAACTATAATAGAGATATATCTCTTGTTTAACACACGCGAGCTATCTAAACAGACGAGAAAAGAAATCACTATGAATAACGTTGTCAATTCCCAGTGAACTATCAGCAATATCCACCTGGATACACAATGTATAATTATGACATTATATGAATAATACATCACGAGTTATCCAAGAATGTAGTTCTCCAAGAAATATATTACAATAATTGTGTTCAATAGGTTTGAACTATTACATGACACTCGTTTTTATGTATCTTTTTTTAAAATAAAATAAAGTATTATATACTATATGAGATATCTAATACAAAATATCGTTTCAATTTGAACGATAATTTTGATTAAATTTATCGACTAACGATATATCAAATAAATATTACATAAATATTATTTAACTGAAATATATATATTGAACATTTGTATCTAAAAAAATATATCTTGAAATTATTATATATCTACATAACTGAAAATAAAATAAAAAGATAAAATACATATTAATCTAAAACAATGATATATTTTACATATTAAAAAAAAAATACTTAATATCAAAATTATAGCCAATTTCTATGATTATAAATAAATAAACAAACAAATAAAAAGGCCTGTGACATTTAAAAAAAAAAATAACTTTTATAAAAATTCCTAATCTCGACGACCAAAAAAATCCTTTGAGAATAAATATATATATATATAAGGAGTAACAAAAAAAGAATAAAAAAAAAAACTAAAACTAAAATAAAAAAAGAGTAGAAGATGGTCGTACTCACTGTGGGCGTAGTGCGCCGCCGCGGCGGCAGGGTGGTGGGGGGTTGGTCCGGCATGGGGGTAGTAACCCCTGTAGTCGGTGGGATTGCCAACGACTCCGGCCACCCCAGCGGCTGCCGCCGAGGGCGGCTCCAGGGACGTTCGGGGTGGTTCGTACCATCTTGCTGCACTAGACTCGCTGCTCATATCCATCATGAAAAAAGTTTATTTTTTATTGTAATAATACTTATTCTCTCTTATTAATTTATTTCTTTTCTTTATTATTTTCTTCTTCTTCTTCTTCTTCTTCTTTTTCAATCTTCTAAACTTTTCCTTTTCATTAAAATGCCAACATCACCATCACTACCATCACCACCACCAAACACCACCTCCTAATTTAATTAAACCCTCAAATTATTTCTTTCCAAAATATTTCACACACTTATTCGTTTGTCCGAACGACGATGGAAAATTATCCAATAGGAAGGAAATATTTACGAAGATATTTGCAAATGGGAGAGAGAGAGAGAGAGAGTGAGTGAGTGAGAGAGAGAGAGAGAGAGAGAGAGAGATTTAGGACGTATATCTAAATAAAAAGTAAACAAAAAAATAAATATATATTTAGATAATAACTAAAGGAAAAGAAGAAAATTTGGATTAGGATAATTCTAAATGACAATAACACTACTTCATCGTCATTTCTTTTCTTCTCTTTTCTTCTATTTTTTTTCTCTCAATTTTGTTCTATATTTGAGATTATATTAATCCTTCCTTTCCTTTCTTTTCTTTTCCTTTCCTTTCTTTTCCTTCCTTCCTTCCTTCCTTCCTGTGTTCATAGATATAAATTCATTGATTTGACCAATCGGAATAGAAAAAGAGTTTGCTTATAGTTTTATCTCTCTCGAGGAGGAGGAGGAGGAGGGTTATTATTTTTCTAATCGATGATTTATCTCTGCCTCGGCGCACGCTGAAACAAACAAAAATTTTTATTAGAATATTCCGATGATTCATAAATCATATTGTTGATTCTATTTTATCGATTATACACAATTTTATTTCATTTTTCTAATTCTTTGTCTTACTTTCTTATATTATGATAAATATTGTTAGAATATTAATCAAAATGATAAATTATTTTTGGATATTATGAATATATCTTTGCGAATAATAATTCTTTTTCGTGAATATAAAAATAGAAACTTTTTTTTTTTATAATACTACAGATATTATTTTTTCTTTTTTTTCATATCTTAAATCCATTGACACACATCAATATTATAATAATAATTATACTTCAAACGAAAGAGAAATAAAACGAATGAATACCTTAATTCGATTAGAATAATTATCAATCAATATGTAACATAAAATCGATCGATCGTTTGAAAAACTCTTTTTATTATTTTTTTTTTTAATTTTTTTATCCTTGTCTCAAGGGTTCGCGCATTAGTTCTAATTGAACGAACGAATAATAAATGAAAATAAAAATTCTTATTTCTTGCATTACCCCCTCCTTTTCTCACAAACTTGTTTTCTTATTTTTATATATATTTTTTGTTATTTCTTCTGCACACACATACACACACAATGAGTTTAAATTATTATAGTATAGTTAGATGATAGTTGGAAGTATCGTGTAAGTGGTTTTTTCTGTTTGCATTTTTCTTCTTCTTCTTAAACGAACAGAAAGAGAAGGAAAACGCGTATCTCGTAAATTACATGTAACTCGATACGTGAGAATATCGATAGTCGTTTAGAGAGACGCGAACAAATAAGATTTATATTCCCGTTTATAACCTAGTAGAAATAATTTGTCATAGTCTTTATGGGACCTCCAACGCTTCGTTCTCGTCGTCGTTGTCTTATGGCAAACCATAGATAAACCTACTCGATTACATTGTAAATAAGAAACGTCAATCAGCCACCATCATTACGCACAATTTCATTCTAAACATTATTTATACATTATTATTATTATTATATATCGTTAATTCTATATTCTTTCTTCATTCTTTTTATTTTAGTTTTAATAAAATGATCATATATCGAATATATGTCATATTTAACTTTGATCTTATTTATTTGATTTTAAATGAAAATGATTTAAATAATAGAAGATCATTTATTTTACACTTGAAACTTGTTTCGATAAAAGAAAAGAAAAGAAAAAAAAAAAAAAAGAAATTACGCAACAACGAGTTTGATAAAAAGAACAATTTTTCAACAAAATTTTCTATACAACGATTAAACAAATTGTAATAAGAAACTTACCACCAAAAGGAATTAGATAGAAAATCTTGAAAGTGTAGGAACAACGAGAGTGAGAGATTTTGATTAGAAAACAAACAAAAAAAAAACAAAATGGAAGATCTTTCTTTAATTACCACCTGATCAGTGCTTTAGTTAGAACACACTGAGGTACTCGACGATAAAGTGGCACAAAACGATTTATCAATAAGCTCGTGGCTGATCAAGGTCATCGATGACGTAATCAAACCAGGGAAAAAGTAAGAGAGAGAAAAAGAGAAAAAAGATTGTGTGCCGTTTCGAAACGTTCACAACCCACTCCCACCACCCCCTTCGAAATATCGAACCAATTATTTCAACGATTCTTTAAACTTATGCCAATCTTATTCGCGAAACAATAGACATATCGAAATAATTGCAATTTATCAGGATTAATTTAAATATTAAGAAAAAAAAAATAGAAAGAATATATTTCACACGTAACTGAAAAATATTAAAAAATAAAATAAAAATATTAATTTCTTATATACGTACATCTCTATTTTAACATATAGTAATTAAAAGATAAGTTTAACACATATATAGATTTTATAAAACTACTAAAAATAATTTTTTACATACGTAGATCTATCTCTTAACATATAGTAATTAAAAGATAAATTTAACAAATATATATATATAT